TATCGAAGATAATAACCGGTATTTACTTTTCGTATTGGATATTATATAATAATTAAAATATTTAATTTAATTTATATTTACCGGATTAATAATTTAATTATTATTAATAATTATAATATATTAAATAAATAATAAATTATATTCGGTATATTAATTAGTAAAATAATATTATATAATTAAAATAATAAAGGGCGGGATAGCCTAATTAAAAGTATTAACTCTTTAGATTACCGTTACTTATTCGCGGTTATTAAACTAAATTAATTTTACTTTACTAAAGCCGTCCGAGGTTATAACTACTATACTTACGAAAATAATATTTATTATAAACCTAATTTCGTCGAAGTTATAAATATTATTATTTATAATACTATATTTAACTTTAATATTCTATACGAATATAAATTACTTAATAATAACCTTTAAATCCTCGTACTTAACCCTCTAATAGTCGTATTTATACGTAAAATATATACGGAACTATAATTAATATTTAACAAAATTATAGGCTTAACGTTTATTAATAAGAAGCGCGTCGTATACGTATAGCAATTAGTTAGCTATATCTTCTATACTATTTAATTTAGGTAGGAATACGCGTATAAATAACTTAAGGACGTACTGAACTATCGTCTTCTCCTTTAGATCCGTTAAATTACGTAAGTTAGCCAGAATATTATATCGCATTGGTCGGCCATTACGCTTATAGCGGAGGATTACTTCTAGGACGTTATATAACTTAGCTGTAGTGCGGATACTAAGATCTTCCTTATTTTAAATAGTTTCGAGGGTAAGAAGAAGTCTCGCTTTTTTTAAAGGGCCGTCTATGGTTATTAGTGGTGAATTATAGTAGAAGATATTGAAGAGACGCGTTGTGGTGGAGAGTGCGTCGCTCGCTTATCTGCGTCGCTCGCTTATTATGCACGTTACAATTCGATTTATACTTTCCGACCACCCGCATCTACCGCCGTATTCTCGGCCTTTAGCTTATAAATCTCGACTAAAGCGCTCCTCGTCGTCGTCCCGAAATTCATAGGCTAGCCTGAATTTAAATACGCTTTCGCTAATAGCTAAGGTAGGATTCGGACAGGTATTAGTAACGCCGCCAAGAAACGTGAAGCTACGGTTATAAAGATCGCAAAACGGGATATTAAAATAGCGGATAAACTTAATTAATAGTTATTAGCGTTACTCGTCTAGGTATACAGGTAACGACGTACTAAACTTACTGCCTAGATTTCAATATAATACTAGTCGATCACGGGATAAATACGTATAAACTACGGCTAGCCTGCATTAGTGGGGTTAAAATACGAGAGAAACTCCCTATGGGGGTCTGTCCGTCTTGTCCCGAGAAAATATAGCTTAATAGCGGGACGGTCCAGCAGATATACCTCGAGCGCGGGCCGCATTAGTAGCGCATACCGTTTCAGGTCGAGGTTATACTCCTGCGCCATTCTTTCCACAAACTCCTCGACCTCGGTAAACGGATGACGAGAGACAATGTATATCGACTGGAGGGGCTTGTTTGTGATGGGTTCCGACGTTGGCGGTTGTGATGGCGGAGTCGGGATTTCCGACGGGGCTGCAGCGACGGCACTCCCAGAGGAAGTCGGCGGGGGGCTGGTGCAAGTTGGCAAGCAAGCCAGGATCAAAATCAGGAGGACGAGACAGTCCTTGCCGCCGTTGTACGAGAGAGAGAGGTGATCGAGCCTACACGCAAGGTCAGCATCGTGTCGCAAAGGCAGCACATCACAAACGGCACGGCCCCCGCCTCACCTCGGGCAAGAAATGACGCAGCACCTACCCATATTGGCGCAGCGCCTCCTCGATCACGCCCATGGACACCCGGATCTGGCTCTGCACATTGCGCAAGACATTGTCGTTGGTGATGGCCTCGGTCAGAAAGGCATCGACCTTGCCTTGCAGCTCGTAGCAGATATCTGGCAGGGTGCGCTGCGGCGGTTGCGCGACGGGCACGGGCTCATCTGGCTTCGCAACTCCGTTGGTTCTCGGGGTGTCCTGGGAAGCGACCGTGTTGTCGTGTATCATGGCGGCGGTGTTGTTGCTGGCGAGCGAGCAAGACATGGCTGGTGAAGTGAACCTCTGTCAGATGCCAGACCCGACTTCGATGGCCGCCCCCCAGCCCAGACACCATGTGTAATTACACGCGCTGTTACGGATTGCTCATTTGACTGCCGATGGACTAACAGAGCCTGCCGCCGCGTCGCAGCAAGGTCAGGGGCCACTAACAAAACGATATCCACCAACTTGTTTGGTTTCATATTCAAAGATTCCCTCCGGGGATGGTTAACAAGACAATAAACGCTCCTTCAACTCCGGCTTCGCCGTCTGAAGCGCCATCTTATTCTCGCCCAGAGTTACGAAGAGTAGAAACGACTTTTAGCGGAGCGATAACGTATTTGATAAGCGAGCGGATCGGACAAGCGAGTGGATCGATTTCCACTACCCTATTACAACTATCCTCAATTGCAAAACAATAACACTATTAACCTACTACAATTACATCAGAAATAGCTGAATCAGACTCTTCTGCAACCTCCTGGCACGTACGGATATTATGGCCAAGCTTACCGCACATACCACAGCACTGAACCTTCGTACGCCCTCCCCCTACCCTACTACTACCCTGCTCCTTTCCTTACGCTACCTCTCCACCCACAGCCTTCTAGTCCAGTAAATCCTGTGTATCTTATATAGTAAGTGATTCTCTAAGCTATACGCGTATTTTTTTTACTTTCCGGCGCTTACTTAATACTTGGTTCGTTTTACGGAGCGAAGATACTTTTGATTGAAAGAGAGTTATTTAATATATTATAGTTATTATACTTTTAGTAAATTAATTTATTATAATTAATATTAAAGTCGGGAAATTATTTTAATAATTAATAATATAAATTTTAATAAACGTTAATTATAAATTAATTTCTTAAGGGTTTTATAATATTTAAAATATTTAAAGTAATACTATACCCGGCTTTAAGGATAGAAGTATAAACGTACAAAACTTTATATTTAATTTAAAAAATATTTTTTTTAAATTATATAATATAAAGTTAATACCCGTAAAATTCTTTTATATATTTTTCTCCGTTATAAAAGCGAAAAAGGTTTTACGGAAAGTATAAAAAAATTTAAATTTATTTATATAATTAATATATATATATATTAAACCTTTAATTTAATAATTATATATTTATTTTAGTAATTTAAAATAATTAATATTAAATAATTAAAAAAAAATAAAAAGAGTATAGAGGTATATAAAATATAATAATATTATTTTATTAATAATAATATTTAAATTTAATTAAATAATAATTTTTGTAATTATCGAAGATTAATAACCGGTATTTATTTTTCGTACAGAATATTATATAATAATCGAAATACTTAATTTAATTTAAATTTATTAAATTAATAATTTAATTATTATCGATAATTATAATATATTAAATAAATAATAAATTATATTTAATATATTAATTAATAAAATAATATTATACGGTTAAAATAATAAAAAGTAAAATAGTTTAATTAAAGGTATTAATTTCTTAAATTACTATTACTTACTCGCGATTATTAAATTAAATTAATTTTATTTTATTAAAGCTATCCGAAATTATAATTATTATATTTATAAAAATAATATTTATTATAAATGTAATTTTATGAAAATGAAGATATTATTATTTATAATATTATATTTAACTTTAATATTTTATATAAACGTAAATTATTCGATAATAATTTTTAAATCTTTATATTTAACTTTTTAATAATTATATTTATACGTAAAACGTATACGGAACTATAATTAATATTTAATAAAATTATATATTTAATATTAATTAATAAGGGGCGCGTCGCGTACGCGTAATAGTTAGTTAGTTATATCTTCCACGCTACTTAATTTAGGTAGGAATATACGTATAAATAGCTTAAAAACGTATTAAACTATCGTCTTTTCCTCTAAATCTATTAAATTACGTAAATTAATTAGAATATTGTGTCGTATAGGCTTACTAGCGCGCCGGCGATAGAGGGTAGTATAAAATATAGAATAAAGCTTCGCTATAGCTTTAAGGTTTAGCTTAGAGTTATTTTTAAGGGCTTCGAGTGTAAGAATAACTTTTGCTTTAACTAAAATCGAAGACATTTTGGTATGGTGGAGGAAATCGATGTTGCAGGTAGAGAGCTATATCGCGTACGAAATCGATCCACTCGCTTGTCCGATCCGCTCGCTTATCAAATACGTTACTAGTAGCCGTAACTACTTTATTAGGCCCGTAGGATGACTCCATGACATGACGACTGAAAATGCCGCTATCAGAAAGCAAAAGATTCTTGCCCATATAACATGGAAACCAATTAATAATATTGTTGTGTGGACTCAAAAACGCCCACCCTAGGTACCACTTTTACTTGCTCGCCTCAAATACCTATTTACCTATCTAAGGCGGCCCGGGTGTCTTGTATGAAGCTTTCAAAATCAAAGTACTAGGTAGGTCTAGTACGGATTAGTCCCTTGCCTAACGGCAAAGAAGAATTAGTACGGCGGGACATCGGGAAACTGATGGATTGGGTCCCTTCCACGTCCGCCCCCGCGATCAAAGTCTGCTCGATTGATGCATTTTGGTCTCCAAAAGTCAAGCATCTCGTCTTCTGAAAGCTTCGGAGGGTGGGCAGAGTAAATTCCGCCCTGTGGCAAACCCGGAGCATAGACAACTGGCCAGGTCGGGATTGCACAGATCTCCTGTTTTGAGAGAAACACAAAGTCAGTACCTATGCTTCTTGGAGGTAAAACTTGTAACCGAAATGTTGAATCTTACATCGAACATGCACTGTCTGTCACACTTTGTCCAGAGATCCCACCCGATCAATGACAGAGTGTCTTCGCTGAGCTGTCTGTATCGTGCTACTTCTTCATCGTTGAGCCAAGCCGAGATCTTAGCATCGCCAGGCTGATCACCCCAGTAGTTTGTAGTGTGTTTCTCACTCCACTCGAAGAGGTCCCATTCCCATGTACAAAGCCTCTCGGTGACAATGTTGAGTGAGTGATATAGAAGGACCTCCGACCGACCCAAGGTCGTCAAGTCCATGCCCGCCGTGTACACTGTAGAACACCGGGCAATAGTCTGCTCTCTCGGCGTCAGGGACTTGTCCGAATCGGAGACTATGTACTCGAGATACGGGGCCAGGATCGCATGTGTAAGCTCATGGACCTTGGTAATAATCGCTTTCCGCTCGGCCTCGGTTCCTGATTTCCACTCAAACGCTGCGCCAATCTCACGGGCCCGGGTGCCGTGTTGTGCGTGGATGGTGGTGAAAATGGCTTGCCAATTTATGCCCGAACACCTGTTCTCCTTTGAAGTAGTAGATGATGTGATGGTCTGCAACCATGAGCGCACGCGGTTCACATCATCTGGTTGTATGTCGAGAAGTCGGTGTCCTTTTCTAAACCCCCATCCGTTGACAAAGCTGTAGTTACCAACAAGCCTCCCGTGGTGCGATTTTGCAAGACTCGTAAGTTCTGGGTCATAAAAGGAGACCATGCGGCAGATGTCCAGCTGGACTCGGTTTTCTGCCAGGCCGCCTTCCCGACCATAATGCCACGACGCACTACGGAGCCACTCATATGAGCCCTGCTCCGAGAATACATTGCCGAAACCTCTGGGTGGTTGGCGATTTGGGTCGCGTGGAAGACCTTCTGGGTCCTCTTCCATGTTTCCGGGCACAGTGATATTGGTGACGAAGAGCGGTTGGAGCCGAGAAGCATGGTAATCGCACACCAAGACTTCAAAACCGGCGTCCATTCGAACCACTCCATCAATTCCTAGCTTCTTTACCAGTTCGCAGAGATCAAGAGCGCGTTGGTCTTCATCGTAGATGAGGTCGTAGTCTGGATAAAGTGGGACACGGCCTTGAAGAATCGATATCTGAGAGTCTAATGTGCCCAGGGCGGTCAGTGTAGCGGACTGACCATCGAAGTAGATGATGTTGAGCGGTCGAGTTGTCCGGTAGACATGCAAGTTTGAACGGCCGAAACCACCGTAGATACCTACTGACATCTCTCTGCGTACAGGTTAGAATATCTCAAACCTATTCTTACACGGAGACATAAGAGATGATAGAGATCTGAGTTTAAAGTGAGCGAGCGTACGCGTCAAAAGCAAAAAACGTCGGCTTTTTGGGTGGACCGGGAGCATGTTTGGCATGGTACAAAACAGTTGCCGGTGCGATGCTCCCGGCCACTATGGAATGCCCATTTGGGGAGTATGAGTTTGGCCACTGTTGGAGGAGACCTTGGACCGAATCGAAGATGAAAGGTGCGACAGTCTGGAACTCGGAGGCGAGAGTTGGAGGTGGTTTCTGGACTGCACCCTCAAAGAGATGAAAGGAGGACCAAACGTCCAGTACGACATATGGCGCAGCTAAAAGGCTGAAGAATCCCAAAAACGCTATGGCATACATGACCGGGTTACGCGGGCAAACTGTTGTCCTCTTCTCGAGAACACCAGGTGAAGCAAGATCAGAACCAGAGCTTCGAGTCGAAGGCGGCTTCGGTGACGGCATCGTAGTGAGCCCGTCTCATCGAAGGGGACAATTTCAATCGATGTGTGGTGCAAGGATTTGCTGTGTTATTGTTGGATCTCGGTGCGTGGGATGAAATCAGTCGGGAAACTCTCAGGTGGTGGTGAGGAAATGTTGGGATGAATATCTTCATGCCACGTGTGGCCCGACAGTGACGAAGACAATTATCGGGGCGGTCAGCGGCATGAGTGGCTGCGGCTGTGAGTGAAACACGTGGTCCGCAATCTGGGCTGTGTTTGCCAGTTGCCTGACGAGAATGTGCACCTTTCCTGCACGTGCCGCCATGCGTGACAGCCTACAGGGGACAGTGCCACAGGTGTGGAAGGCAGCTAGAGGTCGTATCAAATCACTATTGTCTCTCAAATTCTATTTTGCCTGTACCCCTACACGATCCTGCTGGGCCCATTTCACATGTAGCAATCTCAACACCAGCCTGCCAGCTTGTAGCACCTCACGACATTGGCTGAATTTGGATATCGATACCATATAAAAAAAATGATAGTTTGGAGGCAGGAGAATGTCATCAACAACTAAGCTCAAACTTTCACAGTATTAAGTAGTCCCGGCCATAATTTGATCAAGCTTCTTGCCAGCTAAGGCGACGTGGTCACCGTAAAGAGCTTTCTATTCATGGTGCCATTCCCTAGTTCAATGACATCGCGTTCCAAGATTGCTGCGTTATAACCGCGAAAGTGCTCCACCCCGACCCGTGAAAGTGATGTGCAAAATCTGAGGCCCATGTCAACATTCGTTTTTCAAACTCCACCTGTCAAGGGATCCCGCAATCGGCGAGGGTGTCACATTATACCTCAACGGCTGCCTCTGCAAACTTCCGGCTACAAGACTCATCGCAAGTGGCAAAAAGCCATATGTCATCGCATTTGGTACGCAATGTCTTCAAGGATTGCATCGTATGCTATGTGTCCGAAGTTAGCCGTGTTGATAACCATCAAGGGGAGTGTATTGATAGGTCCTTACACGAGGTATTCGTGACCCGATGATGCCCCAGCTTGCTTTACTTGACTTCGGTGGCGCAATACGTTCACCTCGTGACGATCGGTTGTTTGATTCGCACCACTTTGAAGGGTATCCCGAGAAGTGTAAGTGTGATGACTCGAAGGTTTCCTGCCGCGGCATATCTGATGGCTAGAGAGACTTACATCTGCAAGAGCTTGCTCCTCTTTTGGTGTTTGAGGCTTTGGTATCAAATAGAGTCCGGTCTTCATTGCCGTAAGGTCCACCCTAGAAACAAAGATCAGACATTGGAATGGTTGGTCCTTGTTGTATCTCCACAAATCCCAGTTGCCTGTTTCGGCGAAGCAGCTCCAAGCAATCGCGAACTCGATGGAATTGGACCAATACACGGCCCGACCAGTAGAAAAATAGCTACGGCTGCGGGCAAAACGAATTGACGGGCCACGACAAGCGAACGAGTCTACCACTTCCGCATCAATGGCGTTACCACAGCCGTGGAAAAGATACGAGGGCTCTGACTTGGCAATCACAGACTCGTGGTCAACAGCAGTAGGCGGCTGGTCAAGTCTGCCAAGGTAGGGCGCTAAGTCGGGACTTTTCGGGAAGTCTGCCAGACGAATGGTGATGTGGCGGACCGGGACATGCAGTGGAGGAGTACCATCCTGACGGTAGGATTCTTCGACCGCCTTGAGAGAAATGAGGCGCCGTGGTGGGGGTGGTCCTGGGAGCCACCAACGCCTGGGTTTGGCTTGGTCCATTGACTTGGAAAGCCAAGATCCAAGTTCGTAGCCGTTAGAAAACACACGTGTAATGGATTGTTTAATGCTACTGGTCCTCATATTTATATCCGAGACCAAACATGCAGCCCGATCGAAGGGCCGTACATATACTGGTGTACACCCCGGACCACATTCAGGCCGTTTTCTAACCCCTCACCGCAGTTGGTAGTATCTCTTAAAGAAGGGTGTGTGGCGGCATATGCACTGTCCCAGCCAGTGGTTAGGTGCCGTTCCAGATTCAGTAGGTAGGCAGATGCTCTCCAAATCCCGCAAGCAAAAGGTGCCCCCACCTGATCGCAATCCCTTCAGTCAGGTAGACCTGAGGTAGCTGTGAGCCTCGTGTGGGAGGAGAGCAAATCTTAGTAATTGATCTTGTCTGAAAGCTACCCGCTGGTATCTTTATTTCCCAAGTCCAAAGCCTTTGCAGCCAACCCGATCTTTGCCACCAAGATGTCGAGTTTCTTGCCTGACGCCTGTCATTGTCTCTACCATCCACCAGCTGGTTTGTCTATGCATGGAACCAACATTCACCTCATATTGTGACCCAGACTCTGTTTTGACAAATTGGTCAGCGGGATGGCTACATGTCTGCTTCATTGAAAGGGCCACTCACTGATGGCGGAAGTTTCCAGGTTAATTTCTGGAACAGAAACCTCGTTGTCTGGGGCGATAATGGACGAGAATCCAGAAGCCACGCTTTGATAGAAGACCAGAATGTCTTCAGCGTGTTCATCTACGGCATTTCCCCGTCGCAATTCCGCCCATATTCCGTGAATGCAGGACCGAACCAGCAAGACTGCTATCTTGTCGACATCACCTTCGATCTCTCTTGGGAACACATCGCTTTGGGGAAAGACTTGCTCATACCCAAGATAGGCCTTGGGTGCCTCAGTTGCTGCCGATATCAGTAGATGGAACTGGTCCTCAGGATCTGAAGCGAACACTTCAACTGCCAGGCTGAACTTTTCAGTCCTAGTCTTGAAGGTGTCCGCCACTTCAGAGTGTAGGATCTCCTCGAACCGCTTCATTGCATGCCTGGGAACATGGGCGGTCACCCGAATGCTCTGTAGCTTGCCGCGACGTTCCAGGATGAAGGCGGGAAGAGGTTTTGACAATGGTTTAATCCAAGCAACCATCTTGCCCGGGTATTTCTTGTTTTCTGTATGCCATCCCTGTTCCTGTTCAGGCTCTAGCTTCAGGTTTTCGCTGCCGATGCCGATAAGTCCTAAGGTGGGTAGTAGGACTTGTTGAAGGTATGGAAAGGACGGTGCTTTCACACATAGCGTACCCGCCCGGATGGTCAGTCGGAGGCCATCGTTATTGTTGAGGCGGGACGCGAAGCCATTGGAATGGGCAGCGATATGTCCAAAAAGGAGATAGGGAAGCATGGCGATGAGAAAGATAGAGGCGGATCCCTCAACTGTGATGTCCATCTCGAGAGGTAAATGCTTGGCGGAAACTGCGGAATCGGCGTGGGGGTTGAAAGTCATCTGGCGACTGGCCGGGAGATTTCCCGTCACCTCGGCCGATGCCAGCTCGGCCAAAGTTGCAATGGCGACGGTATGCTCCGGACGAAGCCCGCCAATGCCAGGTCTGTTTGCCCTGATAGAGTGAATGGTGACCGGACGGTTGAGCAGGCTGGAGTAGGCGATAGCATAACGAATCAAGCCCCCGCCGCCCTCGTAGGTAGTACCGTCGAGGGTAAGGGGGGGAAGGCGGTTTTGTCGGTTACTCATGGCGTTGAAAAGCGTCCAGAAATCCCAGGAAAGCACATGGAAAGAAGCGATCACAATACTGAAGAGGATGAGAAATCGGTATCGACGAGGTAAATGGGAATATGGAGCAGAACAAGTGGGCATCTTCTCAACAGCAGAAGTGGTTTGGAGAGTGAAACAAGCCCATATGGAGCGATCCATGATGAGGAAGAGAAGACGAGGCTCCGTCAAGGTGGGGTGAACTCGCCGCAGGTTGCCGATTCCAACCATTTTCATGATTGAACGCCGAGGCCCAATCAATGTGCTTCAGGTATAACATGGGTCGCGCCCCAGCTGGGAGAACTTGCCAACTGCTCGAATAAAGAGACAAACCAGCACAAACATGACTGCATGTTCCCAACAAATCTGCCTCATACCACACGCCACTCTGGGAACCAACATGGAAGGATTCGTCCCTCAGTACGAGCCGTGCGAGGCTCTGGTCCAAGAATTTCTCTCCACCGTTCAAGACAAGGAAGTTGCTGACGAAAAAGCATTGCTGCCACGCGCTCCATCCATGGCCTGGAACGCCAACGAACTGGGGGATAGCTATGTTACTCATCTGACCGATGAAGAGCGTGACGAGATTGTTGGAGCCTGCGCTGCATTCGCTGGTAGGAGGTAGCACACACCACCTATTGAAGCACCTGCTGAGTATTGTCTCTTTGCATTCGATAGCATCTACGCGGTCGCTCCATGAACTCGACAAGTCGTCCTTTCCCCTCCCCCTTCTGGGACAGAAGCTTGCCGCCATCCGTGCAAGTCTCCACGATGACCTCGGAATAGCTGTTTTGCGCGGGTTGGACCCATCAATCTGGTCGATGAGGGAAACCTTTGTCGCGTTTGCCGGGCTCTCAAGCCATGTCTCAAGAGAACGTGGACGGCAAGCCGGGAACAAAATGATTGGTATTTTGGATTCCAGGACCCCGCTGCCCCACCTCAACCACCAGCGCTAACCACTTCGGCTTAGTGCACATCACTGATTTAGCTTCATCGTCGAAGGCGGCTCTTCCCGCGCCTTATCGAAATACTCCACTGGTAACAAAACCAACGTCATGTTTCAACCGAGACCGCGTCAAATGGCTAATAACCTTGCTTATCTCAGTCCTTTCATACCGACCCAGTAGCTGATGTAGTTGCCATGTTCGTGATTGAGGCGTCGTCAGAAGGGGGCCAGGGCATTTTCTGCCCGGTCGCGTCCATCTGCAACCATCTCGCTGCCACCTGTCCCAGCCTGCTTCAGGAGCTGGCCAAGGCGGACTGGCCCTTCGACCGACCTCCCGATGGCGTCGGTTCCTTCTATCGACGCCCAGTCATGTATCTCAACAGCACTACTGGGGCACCCGAGATGCTGTTTAGCCGCGGTGCTCTCATTCGCTCGCCCCAGGGCTTCCGGCCCAGCGACGTACCTCTACTGACAGTTCGCCAGAATGCTGCTCTGGACGCCATACACTTTGCAGCAACTTCAAAAGCCCTGAAGGTTGTCTACCGCCCAGGTGACGTTTTGTTTTTCAACAACCGCCGGGTACTCCATGGTCGCGAGGCATTTACGGACGACAGTGTGAACGGAACCAGACATCTGCTCCGCCTCTGGTTGCGTGATGAGGAGCTTGCAGGCACACCACCACACCCACTCGACATGCTGTGGAACTTGAGGTTTGCACCTCCCCGACCGGATGAGGACGAGGCTGCCACTTGGCCGTCAACCCCTCATTGTGTCTGATAACTTTGGAGGTTGGAGAGTGACCCATGAGTCTCTGCAAGTACAAGTACAAGCTTGCACACAGTACCAATGATAAGCCAATCATAACGTCGTATGTTCTGACCGGCGTACGCAGTGATTACTGAACTATATTTCAGGCAACCCCTTCAATCGATGGAGGCATGTTAATCTGACCCCTTGCCGTGGGTTCTTCCACCAATCTAATCAATCGTTCAACAGGTAGGTGCACTGATATGTTCACACCATGTAGCCCAGGGATACTGGACGCCGCGTAATCAATAAAAAGGCATGGCACTCCCCGGAATCCGATGACCGGTGAATATCGGCTTACAGCAATAAGCGATATTCAACAATGGAAGGGTTCGACGCCACTCACGCACACACGCGGACCGCGTTCATCACAGGCAAGACCAAGGTCGCCACGTAGCCATCACATACGTAACTGACAGCCCTCAAGGCATCACCGGACAGGACGGATCTTACCTCGCGGAACTGCTGCTCGAGAAAGGATACAACATTCACGGGCTGGCCAGACGAGATGCATCTCAGGAGGGCGTGAACGCAGGCAATATCCGGTATGGCTCATGTCCGAGTGCCTCGCTGGCGAAAATGGAGGCTTCATCTACAGGTCTGACAACAAGGGCGACACGGCTTTACCAGCAACGTCGGCGATAAAATCACCATCCACAAGGGCGATATCACTGACCCTCATGGGCTAGCCAAGACGTTGGGCGACATCTCGCCCGATGAGATTTATCACCTGGCGGCTCAGTCCCATGTCAGCCAGTCTTTCGCAACACCCAGTTACACAATGCAGGTCAACGCCCTCGGGACTCTCAACCTGCTCCAAGCTATTGTTTCCTGCGGGCTGCAAGCCAAAGTCCGACTGTATAATGTTGTTACATTTCCATATCCCACACCTGCCTGCCTTCTGAAGGTGACGCAACCGTCAAGTTTTGACACTTCTCACAGGCCTCTACATCTGAGCTGTTTGGTGGTAGCGATGATCCGTCAATATTGCTCAACGAGCAGTCACTTTTTGCACCAAGGTCGCCCTATGCTATTTCCAAACAAGCGGCCCACTGGCTCGTCAGGAACTACCGAGAATCCCAAGGGCTGTGGGCCGTGAATGGTATTCTGTTCAACCACGAGTCGGCTCGACGAGGTGATTATATCTATCCACTGCTGTCCTGCAAGGCGGACGCATATATCTGGTCTGATGACTGATCCGAGGCTGTCCATCTTTGACAGGCAGTGGCTTCGTCACCATGCGCATCGCCCGTGGCGTTGCTGCCCGAGTGCTCTCGCGTACTGACATGCCCCTCACTCTAGCCGGCGTGGACATGGCACGGGACTGGGGCCACTCGCGTGACTATGTTCGGGGTATGTGGATGATGCTTCAGCAGAATCAGCCGCGCGATATGGTGCTGGCAACGGGCAAGCTCCGCACCGTGCACGAGTTCGCCGAAGCAGCTTTCGCACATGTTGGTATTCAGCTCCGGTTGGTCAGCCTTTCCTTTCCCTTGACCTTCACTGTAAACAATGCCAGTGTCGGGGCAATTGATCGGTTTGAACAAGGATAATGACAACAGCTCTTCAAGGTGGCATTACAATGGCGACGGCACAGTTACTAGCGCTTCAGAAGAGGGTACAGGATCTATCGTCATTCAAATTGACCGGTCTCTTGAGCGGCCGCGGGAAGTGAGATACCTCGCTGGAGACAGCAGCCTCGCCAAGGAGCAGATGGGTTGGGAAAGCACAATACCATTCGAGGTGCGAATTACCCTACTTGACCCTCCTTTCATTAGATCATTACAACTGAGACTCCTTTTCCAGACTCTTGTAGCAGAAATGGTCGACGCCGAAATCCGGAGACTCAAGGACCATTAATCCTGCAGTTTTGCAATCTCCGCCTCCCTCCAACAAGTCTTTCTCCCCCATCTCAACCGAATAGTCTCGCCGACCGCCAGCGGCAGGTAACCTTGGAAACTGAACTTGTTAGGATCCATAGAAGCAAGTTGTGCGACTGGACGCTTTCCAAGCCCCGGAATGTCCCATGGCGCCACTCGTCCCGCGTCTGGGCTGTTCAGGATGTTGCGGAGTTGCTTCAGATCCGAGTCACTGTATTGTAACAACTTCCGAACGAGAAGCAACAGGCAGACGTTAAGGTAGTAATCTGCATTCTTTGTATTACCCATCTCCTCAGAGACCTTCCTGTAACTTGAGAACCGCCTCTCTGCCTCAGTCAACGAGGGTTGGTCTCCGCGTGAGGCGAGAATAAGTCCAGCAGTGGTGTCACAAGCCGAGGATAGAGGGTGTATCTTTCCTACCGCGGCAACAAGAACATCGTGCGAAGTCTCAAGGGCTGCCAAGGCATCCGTTGTGTTGCCGGCGTAGAATAAACTCCTTGCAATGTTGACAGACACTGTCGCGGTGCAGTAATGGCCCTCCCCAAGCCGGTTAGTCAGAACTTTGTGAGCCTTCACAAAGTATGGCATGGGGTCTTCGGTCTTGCGTGCCCAGGCGACCCGTCCCAGGTTGTTCAACACCATGGCATAATGTGGATGTTCTTTTCCTAGAAGTTGTGCGAATGAGTCGAGACACCTTGCCAGCAAATCCTGCGCCTCATTATGTTTGCCTTCTGCGTGCAAGACCTCTGCGTGGTCGTTGGCTGCCATCAGGGTATACGGGTCATCCCAGCCGAGCAGACGCTCGAAGCGGTTGTAAGCATCCAGTGATTTTTCCCGAGCAACGTCGAGGTGGCCCATCTCTCTCTCCGCGGCGCCCCATGAGTCAATGAAGCGGAACACCACGGGATGGTCCAACATGTCTCCGGATAGGTGGCTCATGGTCTTTTCAAACGCGTTCCTGGCCCGTTCAACCTCGCCCTTGGCCTGCCAGATCTCGCCCATCTCATACAAGTCAGTTATAGTCTCGAAGCTCTCAGGACCAAACGTCTGCTCGACCGTGTCCAGGCAATCCCGCATTACTGACTCGGCCTGGTCAAATTTGCCTTGCTGGCGCAGAACTCCTGCCATGTTCCCGCGCAACCGCAGTGTCAGGTGGTGGTCAAGACCCATGACCTGAATGAAACTGTTCCTGATGAGATTATAGGTCTTTTGTGCTTCGTCGAATTTACCGTCATGGTCAAGGGTCACAGCGTAGTTGCTGAGCGTCTTCAGCGTTCCTGGATCATCCCTACCGAGGTGGATTTCGGAAGCTTTAATTGCCTCGCGATATATCGATTCCGCTTCCCTCAGTCGGCCCTGGTTATGAAGGCACAAGGCGAGATTGTGTGCTGCAGCCATAGTCCGGGGACCCTGCATCCCTGATGCCTTCTCCTCCTGTTCATACAGCTTTCTAAACATGCTTTCTGCCTCCTTCAGCCTACCAGCCCGCTCAATTGTCGAAGCCAGGTCATTCAGTACGTTCAGTGTCTTCGAATCTGTCGGGCCTAGCTTTTGTTCGTATAACTTCAAAGCCTGTCTGCAATATGCCTCGGCTCTACTCATGTCTCCGTCATGACGCGTGGCGAGTGCGAGCTTATGGAGTAGGAGGATGGTTCGCTTGTGATCCTGCCCCAGATACTTCTCGTAGAGCGGCTTAGACTGCTCGAACTGCTTCCGTGACAGTGGCCAGGCGTTGTGGTGCAGATTCGACAGCGCGCAGAGAGCTAGCAGACATGCGTACTCCCTGACTTCCAGTCCCCGCGCTGGTGCTTCTCGGATGAGAGCCATTGCTGCAAGCAGGCATTTGTCGACCCAAACATGCTCCTCGACTGTACCGTCCTCTTCCGGCATCATGTGATACACGACTTCAATACCCGCGGTCGTCCATTTTCGGATAGCATCTTGCGGGATAGAAGCCCGGACCGACTTCCGAGTAAGATCGTGCATCCATAAAACTCGATTGGCGTTCCGGACACGATGTACCAGACTAAGATCACAGAGCTTCGCTATGGCTCTCTCTCTCCGTACTTCGTCTTGGAAAATATGTATCAAATCATCGGCAGGGTGCCACGTTGGTTCGTCTTTGTCAGCAGGAGGATTGTCCGGCAATTTTTTGAAACAGTTCAAGGCGCTCAAGCATCCAATAAATCTTCTGGAAGATTGTTTCGGAGCCGCTCCAATGTCGGCTGCAAAACCAGCGCTTCTGTCTGGGCGGAGCCAGGCCTCGAAGAGCGGAATTGTTTCGGGTTCGAGCAAAGAATAGAACTTGAGAACAATGAGAGCATCTGGATGTACCGCTTCGAGTGAATCAAACACCAGGCCCAGATGTTTGCCGAGTGAGGATCGTTGAGCCTTTTCCTTGATGCCGTCATCGGCGGCACCATCCAAAGCGTCCCCCCACTCCAGGACCTGCATTCCGGGTCTTGTAAGCATACTGAAACCTCAACGCTAGGTGTCGACTGGGGTGGTTTTCCGTGCAGGCTCGACTTACCCGTTCAGGTGTGTTATTGTACCTGGCCAAGAAGTCACTCGGCTTCAGATGATTGACTCTGATGTACGATGCTGCTTGTTCAATGGCGTGAGGCATCAGAGCCATGGCTTTCACGATGTCTACCTTCTCCTGCTGCTCCATGTTGCCAGGCTCAATCTCAGCCTCACTGACGAACATCTCGATGGCGTCGTCCAAATCTAGCTCAGGCATCGAGAGGCAGGATTTGGAGTTGCAGATATCTCTGACGACCTTTTGGGACTGCGAAGTGACAATTACATGCCCCTGAGCGGCAGAGGGAATGATTTCCAAGACAGGATTGGCTGTTTCCGAGCTCAAGTTGTCGATTAGCAGCAACCACCGTTCATGTTGGCTGAGCCAGTCGCGTAGCTCTTGAATCTGGGCACTCGCATTGTCTGCGTGTTGGCGAAGACCCAAAGTTTCCAGCGTTTCCCGGATGGAGTCGAGAAGCTTGACTCTAGAGGATGCAACAAGGAACAGTTGCGATGTATAGCAGGTGCGAAAGGTGGCTTCGTACTTAAGCATCTAATAGCAGTAATCCAGTCAGCAATCAAGCAGTCCAACACACCACAAGCTGCATGGCTTATCCTACCAACTGAGTCTTGCCAATGCCTGTGAGGCCATGAATCCCTACACGAGCTCCATTGTTCTTCTCGTTTTCTGGGTCAAGCGTTTGTTCGAGGAATTTAAGCTGAGGCTCTCTGCCAACGAAGTCCTGCGACAGCAGTCCGGGTACCATGTTGTGAGCACCGGGATGGTTTGAAGATGAGCCGTCGCTGCTGTGTTTCGCCCGAAGGATGTCGAGGATAAGGGATATATCTTTGCCTAGAGCTAACTTGGGAGTCAGAATGCGGGGAAACTGGCAAGGGATGAGGCCAAGGCGTCATGGATGTCCGGGACGCCAGGGAAGCATCATAGCGATGGATGAAGAATGCAAGCGATAGAAATTCACTTACTGTCAAGGTTAAGCAAGGTCATGGCCGCTGCAATGTCATGAACAAGACGGCTTTGCGTCTCGATGGCCTTCAAACAGGTTTTGAGTGGGCTGTCCGCTTGTGTGGCATGACGAATTGTGGCCCCTGTAAAAGCAATTCAGTAGGTATTTGGATTGAGAAGTGGTAAGTGTTAATCGGGGTTTGCCGTAACGATGGTCCCTGAGGAATGAGGGCAGCATTGCTCCCAGTGCCAAGACGCATTGCTCAGTTGTGCAACCTTTGTGCATCGTTACGGTCATGTGCAGGGTGCAAACCGAGGGTCAGATAGACAAGGGGTTCTTGGAGGTATATGTACATGTCACTTACATTTGGGTGATTTGGCAACCCTCCGCGCCAAGATGCCGAAGTGAGATATTCAACATAAATAGCCACCATTGGTGCCCGCAGCGGCATGTCACCTTCATCCGTACGTATTTTGAGACACTCTGTGTACTTTGAATGGACGGGGAAGTAACGGACGAGGCTCTCGATGCCAGTGGTGATCAATGTAGGCACATGTGCCACTTCTCGCGCGATCTGCGGTAAACACAATCATTAGGGTGGGTCTTCATGTAGGTGGCTGCAGAACCGAGGTATCTTACCTCGATAAGAATCTTCATGGATCCCCATACAAGACAGGCTGTAGGCTCAACTTGACAGAGTGTGTCAAGTCCACTCTTGAAGAGTCGTAGAGGCTCGAACATCTTGCTGATAAACTCAAAAAACCGGTGGAATTTAGTGCTGTATTTTCCATCATTGCGAATATCTTGAAGAGTATCAAGAGCATGCTGTTCCGTGAGGGGGACGCGAGATTCGGTAGCGGTCCGGAACGAGCTGTATTCCTTCAACGTAAACTCTCCAGGTACTTTTTTGCGCAAATCGGCGAGCGCATCTTCATAGATGTCGGTCCATTCAACCCCATTACTCGGCAATAGCGGAGATGCAACAAGTGTGGGTGTTGGCGAGAGGCCCGGGAAGGTTGGCGATGTTGTTGAGGAAGACATTACCGGCGCACTGCAAAGTATACTGGCGACTGGATAATTGCTTGCCGACTCGAGCAGAGAGTAGCACCACATCACACCCTGAAATGGAGCACAGGGGCCGCGTCCTTTTATCATCTATCTAGCCACCCATATTTATTGTACCAGCACGCAGGCATCTCTGTTAGGCCGTCGGTCTGCGGCCTACTTGAAATGGCCCAATCGCCAACTATTACAGCAGTCCAGATGAGGCGACGATGGACATCAGGCTCTCTCGTTCCGTGTCTTTGAGTGGTACAGTCACTCTCACTCGAAGACACATTGTAGCAAGCTGAGAGATATACCTACCTATCCACTGTCAAGTCATGCGGCAAGCGACATTTTGCATGGCGCGAGACGCGCCACCAAACTGCAACTTTGAGACGAACTGTTATCACTGGCCAGTCACCCCACACCCTCTCTTGCGTGAAATGCCTATCGTGCCCAACTTAGTTGGGGATGCCGCCCGATTGATGTGATTGCCGTGGATTTTCTTGCAGTGCAGAATACTTTGAACTTTGCTCGCTCGCCTTGATTGACAACTTTATGTACAGCGCCCCCCCAAGGCAGGCACGGCCAACATAAGCTCTCTTTCCTGTTTTCCCACCTTGACCTGAAGCTCCTTCCACCGACGGATCTCAATATGCCAAGGCTAGCCCTGCCGTTCCTCGACAGTGTCGGGGAGACGGATGAACACGGACCCGAAAAGGGATCGCTTGTACGGCCGTGGAAAGCTTACTGGCCCCCCGAAGCAGGTAGCGAGCTCCATGCCATGCTAGAGCAAAACGTTCCCGAGGTTCTTACCTGGCGCTTCAATCCCAAAGATCCATTCGATCGTCCCTGGCAGTCGTGGACCAAATCTGCTATCCTCAGCGGAAAGGTGTGCACGTCCACAGTTCTCCAACCAGCGGTTAACGGAGTCGTTTACGAGACCCCCACCGCTCAAGAGGAAAGGGCAGCAAGTGAGGAAGCGCGTCAACGAAATAGCAAACTGTTGGATGCCCAAATTACCAGCCTGCATCTTCCACACACAACACCAAAACAGTTCAATTATCTTTCTGGAGATCCTTTGTACCTCACGACGAAGCCTTACCACACCAGATTACCGTTCATGGGGAAGATCCGACGGAGTAATATCATTGCTCAGGGATATTCCGGAGTCAACATATATGACCTGCGTAATCACGAGAAGGAGTTTACGCTTGATCGCTCTGGTTTCCAATACTGCCACATTCCCGTCCCTATTGCCCAATGGACCAATGAGACGGCCAAGAATCAGTACCTCCCACTCATGGAGACTTGGCTCAAGGAGTTCTTTGGTGCTACCAGGGTTCATATTTTTACCTACACGGTGAGTTGAAAGTGGCTCAGCTACCTTAGGCTTGTTTCCCGAAAGCCCCTAACATACAGACGTGGTACAAGTTCCGCTGTGAAAACCGAGACCGGACGTCGACCGAGTCCTGGGTTGGACCGTACATGCGTGCTCACTGCGGTAAGATACAAACTTTTGGCTATCATTATAGGCTCCGTATAACCAACCGAGTGCAGATGTAACTCTCAACTCTGGCATTAGAAGGTTGAACCTACACTTGCCAGAAGAAGCAGAAAAGATCATGAAAGGTCGATGGCGAATGGTTGGGTATGTGTTCCCATCTGGCATTGAAAGAAACTGACTCCTGTCACACTGATCGACTGTTTGCCCGTCATTCATGCTCGGGCAGGTTTGCTGACCACCGCTCTCCACTATCAAGTTTATGGCGTGCACTCACTGGACCATACCAAGATCGCCCGCTCGCACTTCTCGATCATCGAAGCCTCGCGGCACATGATCTCCTCGGCGCCGACGTTGTTTTCCCGCATTATTGCGACGAGGGTTATGAAGTGCGATACAGTCCGCTGCACCGGTGGTTCTACAAGTCGCGTATGACGCCGGACGAAGCATTACTCTTCAAGCTCTACGACAGCTCCCCGGAAGAGGTTCGTTGTGAGTAAAATGAGAGCTTTCAGTGGCCTATCACTCATTACTGGCGATGCTAATTTGAGTCATTTAGTTTGTCCACATGGTGCCTTTGTCGACCCTTCGGTTCCTGAAGGCACTCCACAGAGAGCCAGTGTGGAGCTTCGAGCAATTATTATCGGCTGAGAAGTTGTGGATGCATCCGGTCAGCGGCCATACCGGCTGTTCGAGAGTGACTTTTCATACGTTAGGCAGTAAAGTGAAAGTAAATTTTATCGCGGTAGTGTTAGTTAGGCATCCTGCAAGTGGTTCTGTTGCGGGAGCACTTTGGCGAGCGGGACTACTTCGCCTGGATGGATGCAAAGTCTCTGACCAAGAATAAGATTTCAAAAGAAAAGAAAAGGTTAGCCCTGGCACAGCTCGAAAACCCTACCGTACCGTGGAACTCTTTACTTGTAAGGCCCACAAGTAGAGACCTTACTTTATAATTAGGAAATCAAAATATCTTGAATCTTTCTCTAAACTTTTATAAATTCCAGTAAAAAGAAAATTTGTAGATGTTATTGTTTACAATCGGAGACTTAGAAGTATTTTAAATCTTTTTTCTACCGGAGGTTACGAAGGTCTAGAAAAAGATTTGTAGATGCTATGAGCTAAATACCAACCTAGCTTTAGCTATATCCTCCAGTTAGAAGACAACTTCTTAGAAGATCTTTTCTTTATTCAGCCTAAATTCAACAAGAAATACACAACCAGCTATTTTACTGACACACCATATCACACGATGTCTGTGACGAACCCCTGTACAGAACCTCTGAAAGGGATACTGGTTGAAGGTAACTTCTGACAATTGGTTCGGTGCAGCTAAACAGTGCACAACAAGATGTCTCAATATAAACACAAGATACCGTGAATACAATTGTGAATTGCATACTGCGGAACTATCTACAAGCTATCTAGTTCCTCCGTATATATAGACCTGTGGATCACCTGGATCGCGTTCCCTAGCGGTGATCCGGATCACATCCTCCACCTGAGGCTCACCATGATCACCGTGATCCTGTCGCTCCGCTCACCGGGATCACCATGAGCCTTTCGCTCCTCTTCCGACTGGTCCGTAATGACTGGCCAGGGGCGCCCCGCTCCCCGTGCGTTGGTCCCCCACCAACGATTGTGACACAAACCCCTTTGAAGAAGCCCCTCTGCTCGCGAGGACTGGGTCCCCACGAGCAGGGGATGTCACACCATATTAGAGGCAACACCTTAACTTGCGTTTCCCATTCATCATTCTAAAAAATAAAAACATCCCATATCTTTCTCTTCAGTGCGACCCCACTTGAACCTGAATTCTAGACGCAAACATTTGTCTATTTGGGGGCCATGTCAAAACAACAAGAAGCAGCGGAAAACGTATACTTTCTCGTATCAGGATGGGATATTTCTGAGGGGACCATCGCTCTCGGCAGCATTATTACCGATCCAATGCACCCCCAACTGGCGCTCTTCAAACCATCCTCCCCAGTTGAAGCCACTACGGTAACGAAGTCCCACTTCATAAACAGAGAGGACGAATCAAACCATCATCCTATGGCACTTTTTCGTCTCTTTGCCAACCTTTTGGGCTTGGGAACGATGATCTATTCCACAATGACCGCAAAAAGCCAATCCTTGGTTACTCAATTCGGGGTTTGCAAACATCGTCCTTTATGCCTAGCAGCGACGAGCTCAAGCTCAAAGGCATACCTGAGAGTGAACGCGTGTCACAGTTCTTGAAGGCGAGCAAGAACCAGGCATCTGTGTTCATGGTAACCGGTATCAAGTTGATCCGCGGTGCCAGTGTCAGAACTGAATCCAACAAAGGATGGGGCTGGGTTGTTGAGCTGAGTGTTGGGCTTGAGACTGGGGATGGCGAAGGGAAGACCACGGCATTCGCATTTGAGCTGACGCGACTTAAGCTCTCTAACTCGGGCGACCTCGTGGCTGTTGGGGACGGGTTGGAATCCATTGATAAGCTACAGAGCAGACTGGACAAGGAGTTTGGAGAGGCCATATTCACCGTCTTCAGCACAACTGATGAACAAACTGGAGAATCCTGTCAAGCCATCGCACCGAGCCCGGCGCCTGTCGATCTGGTGACAGCCAGTTCGGCAAGAATAAACGCATCTCATCTTCATAACTAGTTTTGGAGTGTCTCAATTCCAGTTTCATTTAACTGGTAGTCACCACTCTATATACCTGACCTACACACACCCGTCTTATTCAACAAACAGACTCCTTCGCGCTTATTGACACTCAGCATGCTTCGTCATGGTTGACGTGAACCTAGCTTGCTGTGCATCCATCTTTCCTGCCAGGCTTGGCCCATAGCCCGGAACTGCCCATTCCTGTGTTGCTTGCAACACGGAGAGCAGGTTCTCCAGTGTCTATCATTCCAAGCTACAACAGCAGTATTTTGCCCCTTCATATCCCGAAGACACGGTCCAGGTAACATTCTGTAGCCAGAATATATGACTGGTTTATCTCTTCAGACCCTTGTTGGCCTTACATTTCTCAGAGGGCCCAAACCGTAACATGCTCTGAGCGAGCCGCGGGGCAATATAACTTCAAGGTACGTGTGGCCAGGAAGATATGGTAGAGGTAGTTGCTTGAAGTCGGCCAACAAGAATCACTCCACCTGCGAAAGTTTTCCTGGGACAAGCCGCATCTTCAAGCAAGTCACCGATCGTGATATTGATGAATGACAAGGCGGAGGAGCATTGGACCCGTCGAGATTTTTTGTCGAAACATAGGCGGTGAATTATAAAGAGTTCAACATAATACTGGACTGCGAATGGGAAGAGTGGTATGATAATAAAAGTAAATGCTTCGTGGGTGCTGTGCAAGGGACCTGGCTCCCGTTCGAGGGAGCGCAGAAGTCTGCTCCACGCGAGTTCGGCCTGGTCGACGGCAAAGGGCATGACAAATGACGGGATGCCTGGCGAATGGGGGGCCGGGGGGAGTGCGAGGTATTGAAATTTGGGGTATCACCAGATCGAGTCAGCAAGTTGGATAACTGATGAGGATCTTGAAAACACCAGCGTTTCTGGCTCTTATTGTACAGTTGTTCGGGAAACCCGACAAGAATCACCAAACATATTTGATCTCGAAGACCTCTGATTGAACTGTGCCGTTGGGCACTCTCTCCAGCTGCATCTTGGCGGATGTGCCCCTGCATTAGGCGGAAGATCTGGTTAGTGTCTGCGCCACATCTCTTTGGAGACGACGTTTTCTGGTGGAGGGTGGTAATCAAGTGAAATGCGCGAATAGGGGATATGTGATAGTAAGTGAGGCTGCGACCGGGGTGAAGCGATATTGGCTCCTATTGGCTTGAGACTTTGAGGTACTACGTCCCAGGATTTGTTGACAGTATCTCATGACGGCAAACACAAGGGAGTTGGAGATTTTGGAGATGCAGGCTGGTTGGGAATTCCCATTGAGAAAGGGAGTCTCAACTTCCAAGATTCCAGAGAAACGGTAGATCCTTTATATCCATGAGCAGGTAACCATCTTAGGCTGGTGTCAAGCAATGCCAACAACCGTCAGACCGTCTTAACTTGACTTTTATCAAAGCAGCGTCAAGTTTGAATATTATTGAACCGCAGTCCGAACATCTTCAGACCATCTTGACTCTGGAAGCTGCATCATAATGTCTAACAATAAGAGTTCAAATCCGCAAACGGCCAGCGAGTTGTTATCGAGCCTGTAAGTACCTGTCATGGACACCTGCTTCCCATACTTGGCCGTACACTTCAATGTCGATAGCCTGACAAACACCAAGGATACGGACACCCCCAACGCCATCATATATGATGACACGTTTTTAATACGACACCAAGAATTGGCACAGCCGAGTTGTGGAAATCTCGACGACTCCATCCTGCACACACGAGGATTCAAGAAGAATGGAGCCAGGACACACGAAGCATGGGTATCCATCGGAGGTTCAGATATAGGTTGCTGGTCCAATCTCTTTGTCGTACAACCCGTACATAATTTGCTTAGCACACATGCAACCAAATCAAACATTCGCAACCCTAGGCGCTACATGCAATTTGCGAAACACGCGGAGAACCAACCCCAAGGCAAGGCAAACAAACAACAATTCAGTTTTATCCAACCCATCCATTACCAAGTCCATAAATCACCAGCCCCTCCATCAACCCACCCCCTCATTATTCATCCGCTTGTTGGTAAATATGTTAAGCCAAACCCTATGCCGAGTATAACGCCCCGCGATTTCACCTCAGCTAGTTGTCCGCAACAAGGCTGCCCAGGAACGAACAACGCCATCAGCTTCTGTCCCGCGCCAAGTCATATCTCATGCCGGCAAAAATGTGTAAAACTCACCCGGGGTAGCAAACTCGCTTTTGTCCATCCCGCTGAGACCGCTTTCCTTCCTCTGCTGCTGCTCGCTGGCAGCCCGTCTGTTGCCCTCCTCTACCTTGGGCATGATTTCCTGCAGAATCTCTCCCAAGACACCCACATTCTCGGCATCGCGAGGCACGATGTGACCAAGACCATGATCGTACATGGTTGCCTTACTGGGCTCGCACACATTGAACAGTGCGACCGCCGAGCTCAAGAAGGCATCGTCACATCCAAAGATGTGGAACGTGGGGATGTCGATGACGATGCCGGCCTCGTCAAACAGCTGCGCAACGATGCGGTCCTTGCCCTCGAACTTGAGGGGAGGGGCACCTGAGATGAACATGGCGAACTGTTGGTGTCGAGTTGATCAGCCCTGGGTTTGATTCATGAGGATTTGATGAGGGGGCAGACAAACCTTGATCCTTCGCTGGCACCCGCTCTTCTTGGCCCGTTCCGCCTCCTCTACAATCAAGCTTGCACCAACCATGGCCCCCTCACTATAGCCGATGATGCCATCAATCTCGGGGTCCTCGTCCAGCGTCTTGAAGACAGCGTCCAGCGCTTCTCTCCAGACCCTTTGATGCCAGTCTTCACCCTCGCCGGCTTTCTGAAACATTCTCATGGTGTCTTCGGCAGGCATGGAGTGGGGCACATGCCTGAGCCTACGAAGGGTCTCGAAGGTATCTCCCTGGCGGGTGTCGAGGAAACGGTACAGGGGGCGGGCGCCGAAGTAGTCCTCCCATCCTTGAGGAGGGTCGACCTCGTGAGTGCCTTGAGAGTAGGTAAATGTGCAGAGACCGCGTCTCTCCAGCTCCTCGGCGAGGGGACCAAGTTGAACTTGAAAGTTCTGGACGGCACCAAGTCAGTTGGAGTGCATCCGGGAGAGAGGAAGGATAAACAAACCTTGGCACTGCCGTAGGCACCGGGGAGGCAGAGAAACTTCATCTTGAGAGTTAGTGATTAGGTTCTTGACTGAAAAGACGGTGAAAAGCGAAATTAATTTGAAAACAGCGTTAAGAAATGACAGGGCAGATTAGGTGGAAGTCTGTGATAAGACTGAGCGAATGGATGGATAGATACTGGTATGAATCGTCGGAATAGGATTGGAATAGGGATGTCTATATCTCCCAGTTTCCGCCGAGCTCACCGTCCCAGCCTTCTGAGAAGCCCACAATAAACACAGACGTAAACACGCGCATATCCGATTTCGCAACGTGTGCAGAAGCGCGTTTAACCTCTTCTGCCTTTCCTCGGATGTATCTAGCGTGCATCAGTACTGCCTGAGGATGCAGTAAGCAGGCACAGAGCGAATGATAATGACGCACTACCCTTACCCTCCCATCACCCGGTGTTTCATCGTATGACTAACTGGATCGTCGGATGGTGTGGAAGTCTAGACCTATCCTCGGCGTGCTAGGGATTGTAGGGCTCGACTATTGCATCCCACCTGTGAAACATAGGCAGATACAGAGGAATGTGGAGGACCGGGGGCTGCTTGGCGAGAGGGTTTACCTTTAGCCGTTAACAACATACAGGTGAAGCATCTACTGCCCAAGTGGCCAATGTACACCAAGAGCAGAAAAAGAACCCAACTGCAGTCTACCAAGCGGAGTTCAAGCTTCGACCGGACAGAACTAACATGCAAATCCAAAACTTGGTACCTGCTCAGGAGGAACCCCAGGCGGCATTAGACCAGTTCCCATCCAGTTTGCCTTTCCATGTCTCGGAAGGTGCTCCCCAGGTAGAATTAGGTACCGGCGAGGTGTTTGTCAGCCACGATAAGAGATGGGAAACGCATGTGATACCTGCAGCTGGCATTTGTCTCTGGAAGACCGAAGGACCTGCTGTGCATGTGGAGAAAAGATAGGTGAGGGCCGTTGGCACGTATGGTCTCGCCTTGCATCAGATTACACCGATGCTGCACAACACACTCCATGCTGTCCCCAGAATTCCTCCAACTATCACGTGTGTTTCTCCGTGTTCGGTGCGGGCCGGATTCACACCGGGCCGAAGCCAAGTCTTCGGTCCAGGCCCAGTCTGCCCCATCAGCATGTAGAGGCATGAGAAGCTTATCACGGAGACTGATTACCCCCTCACGTCCCATAGCCACCGAAACGTGCAGACGGCAAAACCGTTAGCCCCTGAGGTGCTCTCTAGGACGGGCCAAACCTACCTCGGTGCTAGCGTTGAGTCGGCAACCTTGCTGTTATCTCATATTTCACTGCACGGGTAACATTCCAAATGCTTCACCGGATCGGCGATCAATAGCCCTTTCCAACAGAAAGCCGCCTCTGCAATGCCGTTGAGAGATTATGGGGAGGTAGATATCCGAAGAGCGGCCGGTGCAACGCCTAAGACCGTCGGATGTATAGGCACACAGACTGTTGCAGAAAAGAAAGGGACGAAACGCGTCTGGTGGCGGGATGGCGTAGCCAAGAGAGTGGGCGGCTCAGTAGTCCATCGTTGGCAGAGCTGGTGTCTGTGTCGCGTAGCCTCTGTGTCATGACTCTTTCCATATAAGTGTTTGGCACCCGTTTTCCCGCCCTGATTTGCAAACCCATACTGCCACACACACCTCCCATAATACTCCCTCCCCTCATCCAGCATCGGTCAACAACGCCATATTCCCTCGTTTATGCAACGGTCGTCTTGTTGCAGAATCATGGCGGACCAACAACCGATGCCCATCGCCATCGTGGGCATGTCCTGCCGTCTGCCGGGGGATGTGTCCACGCCCGGAGAGTTCTACCGTATGCTCTGTCGCAAGAGAAGCGGCTGGTCCAAGGTTCCCAAGGACCGCTTCACCGCCGAGGCGTATCATCACCCAAACCCCGACAAGAAGGGCTGCTTCAACTCCCAGGGCGGCTACTTCATCAAAGATGACATCTCCATGTTTGATGCTGGGTTTTTTGACATCACAAAGAAGGAGGCCGAGTCTATGGGTAAGCACTCGGGTTCAATGGGTGAAGCATGTGAGAGTTACTAATCGGGCCGTGGCAGATCCTGCACAACGACTGCTACTCGAAACAGCATACGAAGCATTCGAGAACGGTGGCTTTCCCAAAGAGCACATCTCGGGCAAAAGAGTAGGCGTCTTTGTTGGCGCCAACTATACCGAGCACCGAGTCGGTAATCTTCGAGATCTTGATCATATACCAAACTTCGACGCTACAGGAAACCAGGGCGCCTTTTTGGCGGGCCGGCTAGCCTATTACTTCAACCTTCGAGGCCCAGCGTTCACCGTCGACACGGCATGCTCGTCGTCCTTACACGCCCTGCATTTGGCGGTGCAGTCGATCAGGGCAGGCGAGTCCGAATCAGCCATCGTTGGGGCCTCGCACCTCATTACACATCCCGATGTCTGGGTGTCGATGGCAAAACTCCGCCTTTTTTCCGACGTGGGTAAAACATATGCGTTCGATGACCGAGCAAAGTCAGGATATGCTCGTGGTGAAGGTGCAGGTTGCCTTATTCTCAAACCCTTGGCCCAAGCTCAAGCAGACAACGACCACATCTTCAGCGTCATCACACATTCTGGCATCAGCCACAACGGCCGGACAGTTGGTATTGTTGCCCCGTCGCCAGAGGAGCAGGAACGCTTGCTCCGAGACGTGTTTGCCGAGGCCAAGATTGATCCCAAGGATGTCGGCTTCTTCGAGGCTCATGGCACTGGGACAAAGAAGGGGGACCCAATCGAGGCGACCGCCATCTACGGGGCAGTGGGAAGACACTTTACCGCTGACCAGCCCCTTTATATTGGCTCCGCAAAGCCCAACGTCGGCCATTTAGAGGGTGTGTCTGGCATCGTCTCGGTCATCAAATCGGTGCTGATGCTGTACTATGGCTTCATCTTGCCCAACACCGAGTTTGAAACGCTCAATCCGGCCATCCCTCTTGACAAGTGGAACATGCGAGTGGCCACGGACCAGAAGCCATGGCCCAGCAAGAGAAAGTACGCATGTGTCAACAACTTTGGCTTCTCCGGTTCCAACTCGATGTGTGTGCTCAGCGCAGCACCCATCACGCGCGAGATCGAGCTGGGCAAGGACGCTGGCTACACACCTCAGCGCCTCTTCGTCCTGTCAGCCAACGACGAGACGGCCCTTCGCAACAGCATGAAGGAGCTGGGAATCTGGCTCGAACAGCACGCCGAGCTGTACCAGACGACAATGCCACGTAATTTGGCCTATACGCTCTGCCAACGCCGGTCTCATCTGCCATGGCGTGTGGCGGTTGTTGCCGGCATGTGCTCGGCCGTCGCCGGCTCGCTCAATTCTCATGAGATGGTGCCTGCCCGCGCCTCGAGTGAAACGCCCAAGTTGGCATTTGTCTTCACAGGACAAGGTGCCCAGTGGCACGCCATGGGCCGTGAGCTCATCACAACCCATCCCGTCTTCAAAGGCGCCATCATGCGGGCAGACAAGACGTTGCGGGATATTGGGGCCGACTTCTCCATCCACGAGGAGTTGACTCGCGACAAGAAGAGCACCAAAGTCGGCATGGCTCACATCTCGCAGCCCATTTGCTCGGCCGTACAGCTCGCCTTGATTGACCTCCTGGAGTCATTCGGGATCCGTCCAACAGCGGTGACAGGTCACTCATCAGGAGAGATAGGTGCCGCGTACGCGGCCGGCGCGCTGGACTTTGAGTCGGCCATGGCCGCTGCCTACTACAGAGGACAGGTCATCATCGAGCTCAAGAAGACCCACACCCAGCTCAAGGGCAGCATGATGGCCGTGGGTTCCGGTGCCGACGAGCTCGCCCCCATGCTCAAGGCTCTCAACCAGGAGGGTGGCCCACAGGCCGTCGTTGCATGCGAGAACTCTCCGTCCTCAACGACCTTGTCCGGTGATGAGGAAGCCATTGATCGTGTGGGCAAGATGTTCCAAGACAAGGGGGTCTTCAACCGAAAGCTGTTTGTCGACGTGGCCTATCACTCTCCACACATGAAGCTGATTGCCGAGTCCTATCTGGCCAAGATTTCCCACATCCAAGTGCCCGACAATGTGTCATCATCCAACGTCGAGTTTTATTCTTCGCTCCGTGGCCGCAGAATTGACCTGCATGAACTCGGCCCAGAGTACTGGGTTGACAACCTCACACAGGCCGTGCGCTTTTCCACATCTCTTCAGCGCCTGTGCAACGAGCACAAGCCCGACATCCTTTTGGAGGTGGGACCTCACGCCGCTCTGAAAGGGCCCATCATGCAAATCTTGAAAAAGGTTGGCGCTGCTGCCACCAAGATCAGCTACATCCCCACCCTCGTGCGCGATCAAGATGCCACCACGACCTGCCTCGAGGCAGCCGGCCAGCTGTTCGTCCGCGGCTATCCCCTCGACTTCTTCAACATCAATCACAAGCGCCAGGAGAATGAGCACCCAGACCTGGTGCCCATGCTGTACACGTACCCATGGTCGAAGCAAAAGTACTGGTATGAGTCGCGCCTCAGCTGGCAACATCGGATCAAGCCATTTGCCCGCAATGACTTGATTGGTATCATGGCTGACTGGTCGAGCGAGCTTGAGCCGACTTGGCGCAACGTCGTGCGCACCGAGGACTTGCCCTGGTTGAAGGAGTATGAAGTTCAAGGTCGCCACGTATATCCGGCGTCGGCGTTTGTGTCCATGGTGGTCGAGGCCGCGGCCCAACAAGCGAGTCTCACAGGGGCTGATGTTGAAAAGTTTGATCTGAGAAACCTGAAGATCAAGGAGCATCTCTTCGTCGAGGACGGCAAGGAGTTTGAGGTACTCCTCAACTTCCGAGCCTTGGACGGCGAGAAGGGCCACGAGTTCCGCATCACTTCTTACGAGGACAGTCGTGGATGGCTGGAGCATTGCACCGGTACTGTGCTGATGGATGTCGCTTCAAGGCGCCGTGCAGCTCCCAGAGATGCGTCTGTGCCCAGCGCCAGGACCGAGGCCATGAAGAAGCTCATCTCGGAAGCC